CCAATCCTGCTGACTCTACCTACTGTCATGTACTTGCACATAATGCTGTTCACGGCGCTATGGCGGGCTACACGGGTTTCTCGTGTGGCAAGTGTGATCAGAGGTAACACATTTATCGGTTTACTCGGCTTGGGAGTTCCGTCAATCGTTCCATTTCTGCTATCTTTAGATACGTTATGCTGCCGTTCAAGGCTATCACTGGTCGTCCTCCGCGTCAAGTTAACACTGCCGGCCGATGGTTCGCCAGGATGATCATGTTCACGGGTCAGCCTAGCTTCGTAAGTCATTCTCTCTTCTGCTATACTTCACTCTAACTCACTGGTCTTCCTTCAGCTTCCTCAAGGACATATCCCACGTCATAGTTCCGCTCTCATGCCGCAATAAGATGGCTGCGTGGATCGCACCTTGAGTATATACTCGGTGCCAATCTCTTGTACAAAACTGTCGCTAATGCGAGTAAGCGTTCTTCTCCGCGCGTACTATCCATCGTTGCGTTCATAAGTGTTTGGAAGAGCCGATGCAACTTGCATCATGCAAGATAGAGAACCGTGCCACTGGCTTTCGTGGATGGGGAGGTATCTTCAACGCAGTTCGGGACTTGGCGACGGGGAAGCATTTGTTGAGATGTTGCGCAGCAAAGTGTAGTGATACTCGGTGTTTCACTCGATTTGGGGATACCTGTGTTAAGCTCAATGTGACCAGAGACATTAGATGCACTGAGGCATATCTCAAGATGGCATAATTGCCCCACCAAGGGACCTTGATTTCACAGAGGCGTACGATCAAGTTGGCAAAATTGCCCCGTCTAGAGACGTTGATCTCACTGAAGCATATGATCAAGTTGGCATAATTGCCCCGGCCAGAGACGTCGATCTCACTGAAGCATATGATCAAGTTGGCATAATTGCCCCGGCCAGAGACGTCGATCTCACTGAAGCATACGATCAAGTTGGCATAACTGCCCCGGCCAGAGACGTTGATCTCACTGAAGCATATGATCAAGTTGGCATAATTGCCCCGGCCAGAGACGTCGTTCTCACTGAAGCATACGATCAAGTTGGCATAACTGCCCCGTCCAGAGACGTTGATCTCACTGAAGCATATGATCAAGTTGGCATAACTGCCCCGTCCAGAAACGTTGATCTCACCGAGGCATATCTCAAGATGGCATAATTGCCCCACCCAGAGACATTGATTTCACTGAGGCATACCTTACGGTGGCATAATTGCCCCGCTCTTTTACTACTAGCAAAAACATAACTCTTAAGGTGAATGCTCCGATGCAGTACCGCACAATCTAAGGTAGTTCCCCGAGTTCCTCAACTTCTGGAAGTTAGCGCTTACAAATCAGGCACAGATGATACCTCTTGAATGTGGCGCTGAGGCAGTATCTCGGTGGGACACGGTCCATCAGAGATGGGTTTTGAGGGTGTTCAGATAGGAGTGCAACGGTGCCTAGTTTATAGATAATTCGCGATTTAGATGTCTTTCCGTTAGCGACATTCCCCTCGTGACGAGGGCCTCGTCCTCTCATTTGTTGAGCTTATAAAATCCAGTGTTGCTCCTATTAATTGATGGACTCGAACGACCATGAAGCCAATGGATGTGATACGAATGTTACATTAACACACATTGAGCGTGCAGTTGTACTGTACTGGATTACTCTAGTAGTAAAAGCATCTTCATT